GGCAAGGGTGGCAAAGGCGGCGGGCTCGTTATTAGCGAGTCGGAGGGCCCTTCGGGTCCAGTGCGGTCCGAAGGGTTCGTAATAGGTGTCCAAAACGGGCTTCTTCTCCTCGATCCTCGGGGCAACGTCAGGAGTCACGGGAGACTTCCCTCGTGGTGGGCGGACCGGAATATCGGACCGTAAATGGGCTTCCTCGTCTTCGACCTCTTCCATGGAAACACTAGGTCTTGTACTCGTGAGTGGCATTTGGTCACCGGGCTGGTCGATAGGGCCCCTCGGCGGCATTTGGTCACCTTCCGACGAGTTGGTGGAGGAGGGCTCTCTGCCCTGTGTTCGGCCCCGGCCAAGGGCGTTTGAGCACGGCGTTGCAACCTCCACGGTAGATCCATGCTTACTGCTCTTCCTAGCCCCGGCGGTACTTCGGGTATCCCTTCGCGGGGGCACACATATTGGCTCTCCAGGAAGGTCTTCACTGTTTGCCGATGTAAGGGCTACTGGGTGAGGGTGGTCTTCCGAGTTCATCGCCTCAGCTGCTTTTCCGACGCATCCCATTGGAACAGACGACCCCACAGGCGGGGACGCAGGCCCAACGGGCTGAGATGCCAACCTTTCTCCCTCTCCGGGGTGACCTCCCCACGTCTGGGGTGCAGTCGAGACTCGACCTAGGGGGCTCTGCCCTCGAGGGGCTTTCCCTGTATGGTGAGCCGGGGGTTCCTGAGCTCGGACGGCCCCTAGGGGTTCAGTACTGAGCGCAGACTGCGCGGAGTGGCGGAAATCCCCTCCTATGCCATTGGCGATTGGCGATTCATTCTGAGTTTTGTTCACTGGTAACGCGGCGAAATCATGGGTATATTGTTCATATGGAGTACCTACATACGTAGTATAAGTCCGACTGGTAGTACAGGAGCGCGCACCAAGTGAAATTGAGTCCTTTGCTGATGCCGTCGAATCGCTTATTTCGACGCCGGCTCGTCTTTTGACGACTTCTCGTCCTTAACCTCCTCGACCTTCGTATCCTTTCCTAATTCCTCCTTCTCGGCTTCAGCAAGTAATTGGCGGAGGCGAGCGACGTTGGGTTTTTTACGAGGTGGGAGTTTGACGGGGAGCCACTTCGACTTGTCGTCAGGGCATTTGTGCTTCGGGCTCCACCCGGTGTTCCCACACTTGAAGCATCGCTTATCGGACCGGAGTTTGTCGATCTCCATTGGCTGCCCTGCTCCACCGTACGTGGTTCCTGTGGTGTCCTTCTTGTCGCCACTAGAACCCGATCCCTTTGATTGATTGCCTCGACCGGAACCGCCTTGGTTTGGGGAGGTCTTACTGGCGAGGCCCTGGGCCACGTCGTATCGATAGTTGGCGTCGATCCTCAGGACTCGCGCCTTCCATTGCGCATAGGTTGTGGGGCACTCATTGTCCCCATGCATAACCGTCTTTCGTACTGTCGGCCTAATCGCCGCTTCCACCGCTTCGAACATCTGTTTTTCATTGCCGAACTCTCCGCACTTGTGGGCCAGGCGCTCGAACTTGGCAAAGAATTCGACTGCGGATTTGAACTCCGACTGTCGCACTTTTTTCCATTCGGCCTTCCAGATTGCGACTTCCGCTACTTCTCGGAATTCCTGCGTGATGTCATGGGAGAATTCCGCCCAAGTGGGGAATCTCCAATGCCCTTGGTCGTCCCGGTAGCGGTAGTACTGATTGCCCCACCACTGCTTTGCCTTTTCCTGTAAGTACCCCTGCGCGAAGGTGATCCGATAGGGGTTCTGTCCTTGATCGTTCATCGTGAAGTGCAGGGGGAATACTTGGAAGTACATTTCGCAGTGGTGGAGGAATCGGTTGATGTCCTCGGACTCTCCTGTGAAGTACTCGGGTTGCGTGATAAGTTTTGGTTTCACGTCACTCCACGGGTTATTGTCTTTCCCGGCGGCTAACGTCCACGGGGGAATTGGGTCCGGGGGCGAAGGTACCGGAGGCGGTACTGGAGGATTCGGTGGTCGTGGTAGCGACTGCAGACGGTAGTTGTCCCCAGGCGGGGGGTAATTGCCTGGGTACGCGGGTCGACGCGGGGGCTGACCCGGCAGTTGTGGCGGGACCGTGGACTGCTTTCCCTTGTCCGATGGTCCTGCACCGGGGTCGTCCATGTCGTCGTCGTTGGGTCCTGCGCCAGCCCAGAACTGCTCAGTTTCGAGCGGGTTCGGCATCGGTTGGGGCCGACGATAGGGCGCACAGCCCGGCTGTTTAGCGTCTGGGAACACCAGGTTCCAGACCACGGCGGCCTTGTGCCATGTCTCCACTTCCAAGATGTTCTTCATGAGGTAGATGTCCCTCATGGATTTGGTGTATAGATAGTCCTCTCCCGCCTCGGAGAGGAGCCACTGCGAATCTTTCTCCATGTCCTCCATCATAATCTCATACAGTCCGTGCCATGGCAGAATATTAAAGATCGTGGGGACCGGAGCCGCGGGGTCGACCAGAACCGTTCGGACCGCCCTCATTACCTCCATCTCGAGGGAACTGTTTGGCAGCCGACTCGGCATCCGCGGCCTCCTTCCTCTCTCGGGCGACTCGGTCGATCTCCTTATTCCTTCTCCACCTCCCGATGTCAGAGTCGGGGTCGCTAATCTCGTCCTGGTAGGCGTTCCAGGCTCTCCTTCTGGCCTCAAGGTCGAGGCCGGCTCTCCGGACGGCTCCGGAATATCGGACGGCGGCGGCGCGGATTCGGTTTTCCACCTCGGCATCGGTGGCATCTGGCTCGAGGGGTAGGTCCCACCAGCTGTTAGGTCCCTGGAGGGCATCTTCTTCTGCACGTCGAATGCGTGCATCATGCGCTCGGCCTCGCTCCATTCGGGCCTCGATCTCTGAGGACTCCCGGGCGTTTCGAGGGAGTCCGAGGGACTCGACGTACGTGTGGTAGAGGAGCGGCCAAGGACGCTGGGAGGCGGGGACGGGGTCGGCGAATGCTCTGGACGCGACGGGCGGTTCCCAGTCGCTGATTCCGGCGAGTCGCTCGGAAGCGGTAATTGTTCCAAGTTCCTCGTCGTCGAGGTCTGGGAACTCGCTCCAAAGCTCCCCACTCATCGGCTCGAGCGAGGCGACGGGGGAAGTGACCGGTGGGGTCGGGGACCCTTCAGAGACCGGGTCGGGCTCTCTTCTGGTCGAGACTCTGGCCACAGGAGCCTCTTCCCGCCGGTCGGCGTAGACCCAACTGGTTGTTGGGTGCCAACCGACTGGTTCCCCCCTATCGGTCGGCCAGGACCTTGAAATAGGCTGTGAGTCAGCTGTACTGGTGGTAGCCGCGGAGGCTCCGAGGCTAAGTTCTCCGGAATCATCGTCGTAGTCGTCCTTCTGGGCGACCCTGTATCTCCTACTTTTGCTCTTCCAGATGGCGTCTGTCCACTGGTGGTTGATACCGTCTCTGGTATAGACTGCATCTTTCTCCTCAGCCGGGTAGATGTCGTTGAGGAGGTTGTCGAGTCGGGTCCTTTTCCACTTGGTGAGCCCGTCCCCTTCGTACTCGGTATCAGGGCTTTCTTCGCCCTCGACCAGATGCCTGGTGTTTTGTCCTCGGCCTCTGTCGTCGCCAGACTCGCCTTGGACTGGAGACTGGTCGAAGAGACCTGGTAAGGGCGAGTCTCCTCGGTCGAGGAGTACCCCCCGGGTATCGGTGATGTCGACTGAGTCGGCTGCTGCGCTGGAAGCGCTTCTGTAGGAGTCGGTGCTCGACTCTGAGAATCGCGAGCTGGGTCGCGACGATGTGTAGAGGGATCCTCCAGGTTCCCCGGAGGCATTGGACTCGACATCTCCTATCGTCTGCTGAGATGCCACGGGAATGTCGATTACCAGCGGTGGATACGCCGGGGTGCTGGGAATGTAATGAAAGGGGAGTTGAGCGCGGACTTGTCTCCGATGTTGGAAACAGCGGCGCAGATGGTACAAAGTAATGGACAAGAAAAAGAGTATGAAAGTCGCAAAGACAGCGAGAATGGATTCTGACCAGGGCATCCATCAGTGGATCGATCCTTGGCGTAAGTCGACGATTGACCATGCAAGCTGGTAGACAGCAAGTATGGTGAGAACAATGAGGAGTGCGATAATCAAGCTAAGGTCGGTCTCGTAGTTGGAACCGTTCATTAACTCAATTTCGCAGGTTTCGGAAATCGAGGTGCTCGTCAATACTAACAGCAAGACTGTTAATATGGAGGCAAGCTGGAGAGCGAGGATGAAGGGATTCGTCTTTTAAACAAGGCGGGGGTATAATCCATACAGAGCGACTAGCAGGCCTGCTAGCAGTATCGCGGATATTCCGAGCCCGATAAGGACGAGGGTAACCAACACAGCTGTCAAGGCTGTGAGGATTGGGTCGTGGAGAAGGAATTCGATGATCCAGGCGAGTACTAGAGCTTGAAGCAGTAGGTCGAAGGGTACCACCCAAAGGACTACTGCGACGAAGAAATGTATCGGCTGAATTTTGAAAGCGTATAGGTTGGGCAGCGCGGTGCTGAGCAACGTAGGACGAGCTTCGGCTAAATGTTAGCCACTAACTCAAATCAACTTAGATCGTACTAAGGTCGCTACTCGCACTTCGGTAGACGACACTTTAGCAAGTCAAAGGCGACGTAAGTCAATGGGACAGATAGTCACGAAGAATGGAGTTCGTTGTTAGGTAGATTAAACCTTAGCCGAAGCTGGGTTTTAGGCCAGCTGAGGCTCTACTTAAATACACGTTTGTATACTAAAAATAGTACTGTGGGAGTCAGTCCGTGATGATCGCCCGTGCATAATCCGGCTGACTAAAGAAAAGAAAAGAAAAGAAAAGGAAAAAGAAAAAGAAAAAGAAAAAGAATAATCATAACAACCACAGCATTAATTGCAACACTTTCCATTAAGAATATGAAGGGCTGGCAAGTTGATGTATGTTTACCTAGCTGAGTTGCTTATGTAATGTAGTTGGCCAATCACAGTTCGTTGACTTTGCCCACATTCCCAATTGTCGTTGAAAAATGAAGCGCGGTCGTCATCCTCAGCGCCTAGAAGGCACCCACCGTCGCGTAGAATTTGAGGACGACTATGACAGAGTACACTCTCGAACATCTGGCATCGATCAACGTGGACATACGTCCTCATCTGAGTCCAAACCCTTACGCGGCAAAGCAGGTTGGACCCTCGGAAGTATGTGGAACCCTCCAGATGATTCCGAGCTTTCACTCAACGTAGATGGGAGCGGTTACGAGGACCAGATGAATGCAGAAGTGTTTGAAAGTACCATCTTCCACGACACAATGGAACCTCAAAAGGCAACGAGGTCAAAAGTTTTGGTGAGTGGCAAGTCTTTGGAAACCAGCTTACGTGCTGAGGACGGTTGGAAGAGGCGGCCACATTTGGTGTGGAAGGAGCAGTTCAGATCGGTTTATCTAGACAAGGTTACTCGCCACGACGGACGAGGAGACGCTCACCAGAGTCTGAAATGTCCCGACTGTATCGCTCGGAATGTTGAGGAAGAGGTGCAGGGAGAGCCGGAGGTTCGGTGTAAGGATTGTTTTCTCAGTGATTTGGTCTGCACATCCTGTTGCATCCATCGGCATAGGCAGAATCCATTCCACCGCATCGAGGTAGTTTTTCCCCGTTACCCTAACGTGAACATCCAGTACTGACGTTCCTTTAAGCGATGGACTGGGCTTTACTTTGCCCCAATCATGCTGAAAGCGATTGGCTTACGCGTTCAGCTTAACCACCAAAGTTTCCGATGTCCTCTCCCCATACCCTGCCATGTCAAGCTTCGAATTCTCCATACCACAGGCATTCATGACGTTGCAGTCGATTACTGTGGTTGTGGGTGACAAATCCCGCAGCACATTCAACTCCTACGACGCGGATGGTATCCTGCTAGCCAGAAGGTGGTGAAGACTTGTGCAACGTTCCGGCTGTTGGAGTTGCTCCACCTCTTTTCCCTTGTCTCCAAAACGTCCACATATCATTTTTATCGCACATTAGAGAGAATGACAGATAATACGGGGCTGAATACACCACCCTCTCGTAAAGCAGCCCTGATGCGTATGCTTATTCAATGGCGTCACTTGAAGCTGTTAAAGAGAGGTGGGCGAGTGCACGACGTCACTGGACCTGAGGGTACAAAGCCAGGCGAGCTTGCCGTCCTCTGCCCATCTTGTCCTCGGCCGGGAATAAACCTACCTCCAGACTGGGATCAAGCACCTCCCCACTTAAAGTAAGCATAGATGTTGTAATGTGATGGTTTTAATCTAACCCACTGACCTAGATTTTTGTATATTTTGCTTATATGCATCGACGCGAACTTCCGGCTTAAGAACCAGATTGTGTCGTCGTATTCGAGGGACCCAGGTCTCGGTATCGGTTGGGCGTACTTCACTGCCCGCGAGCCTTATGAGGAATACGTTCAAAGTCGAGCTACAGATGCAGACGTTGGTTCTTAATTCATCTATTTTGGTTCAATCTTGCTAACTCTACCTCAGATTAGTAACTGCGTGGAGTTTTCTGCCGTGGCCAAATCAAACACAAAGTTTTCAAAAGGGCTCCATTACACAGGTGTGGTTGCGGTGTCCTGCGGAAGAAGTGAGATGGTTCTGCCTACGTGTGTTGGCAATACGAATAAGGGTGAGAGGTGAGTAATCATAGCAGAGCTGTGGGTCAGGTACTCATCCTCGGTTCACAGATACGCCAACGTCGACCCCCTCGCTGCAGCAGCTATCCGTCAATTCTCAGATTTGCTCTGGGTCATTATCAGCTATGACATTGCCTGCCAATGGATCAAGACGATATTCACATGGATGACCTCACATTGGCCCTCTGAGCTTCGATTCAATCCCGATATCAGAGTGACCCCACTGGTGCCAAAGTTCCATGAACCGGGTCATAAAGCAGAGGACCACGAACAATTCTCTTTCAACCTCGCTGAAGGCGCCGCTTTATCAGATGGAGAATGTCCTGAAAGGATATGGGCACCCCACAACGTTCTAGGAAACTCAACCAAGACTGCGGGGCCAGGTACGAGGCAGGATCTGATTGACGACCATTTCGGATTTTGGAACTGGCTCAAATATTGCTGCATGGGTGAGGCGTTGTTAAATTCCCTTGGATGTGTATTGAATGTGGCTAGGGTTAACACTTTGGAAACGCTACAGAGATGCGGTCTCGGAGCGAAACCGGCAGGAAGAAGCACACAGAGGCTTTATGCAGAGCTTGCCACCCAATATGGTCGCCGAATGGGAGGATATCTGTGCTGCATGGGAGGCTGATGAGGTTCCTAAGATGGTGCTGAACCCCTTCTGTGTTCAGAGCGACGGTGCGTCTAGTCAATTTTTTTCCTATCTGCAATTTTGATGGAGTCCGCCAGATTTGACCGAGGATGAGGTTCATAAAGAGTTGGCCGAGGAAGAGGAGGCTCGCAGGCGCAATGGGGGACAGGTGGTTCATGACATGAGTCCTTCAGCTTTTATGGTTTTTGGTTTGGCCCTCGAGGAGTCGCAGTGAGTGACCTGTATGTTTTAGGAAGCTTCTACTGAGGCATATTCAGGCGAAAACTATGCTTGGAGGTTAGGAAACTGAAAGCCAATCTGACTGCTCACCAAGACAGCTCACATTGCAGAGCAGCGAAGTCTTCTCCGGTCCAAGATCAAAAAATTCGAAGAGTTGCGTGCCACATACATGCCTGGGCTCCTGCAGTTTATTACCGAGACTCAGGAGGTGGATTATTCGTCAACCGGGGCATTAGCGGAGGAGGTGAGACTATGGCTACCCTCCTGCATACCTGGTGGATCGCAGGAGCCAGGTATGCGAGGCCTCTTTATCGGAAATGGAGGAGCGTCTATGCACAGCGCAATGCCATGACTCATTAGGTTCGATTCGCCACATCTTGCGCTTGAAAATGCGGATGGTCAAGTACAAGAACAAGAACGTACGAGGTCAGCGGGACGGAACACGTTCGCGGACGGGCATCGATGCCATTCATGAATGGGCACTAGCAGCAGCAATCAAGTACCGTATGGCAAGGGAGGCAAAAATGAAGCTGAGTGGCCCGGGGGATTGGGAGGAGGGGCTTCATAAGCTCGAAGATGGCGATATCCGTTCCTATCAAGATCCAGATCGTCTCCATAAAGGAACAGGTCGCCGAGGAACGAATGAAGATAGCTGGGAGCCAGGATTGGTTCCCGAACTTCCTGAACCCGGCGTCGATCTGTATCAAGATAGTCGAGAAAAACGCGATGGGACTGGCCAAACCTGGCGTACTCTTTCTTGGATTTGGACAACGACAAAGATCAACCTAGCGGATGGGGCTGATGAAAACGACGATGAAGTGCTACGTTCGGAATGGTGTCGCAGTCGTGCAAGAGCACATCGGGCACGTGAGGAAGTTTTGCTCCTCCGGGAGGAAATGTGCAGAACCTTGAGGTTCTTGGAATGGCGAGGGGAGTGGTGGATGCAACGGCAGGATGCGCGTGAGTTAGGCGGTGCACTGTGCGAAGCGGTGGATGCCTATGCTCTCAAACAAAGTGACATACAGCGTCAGCTGGCAGTCAAGTTTTGGGATCTCTGGTTGACAGCTCTAGACGATGGACGAATGGAGAATGCACCGCGTTCTGAACTGCATCCCAGCGATGACGATGATGCCAGCAGCGGTGGTGATAGGGATGAACAAAACATCGGGATTTGGAGTGACGAGGAGGAGGTGGAGCTGGATGAGGAGGATTATGCAGGATCTCTGAGGGAACAGTGAGTTCCGTGAGGGGGAGCACTGTATGACGTAATCATGCTGTATCATTTATTCATTATTTCATTATTTTTACTCCTTTCCTGCATGTCATCAAGTTATTTACAATCATAATCCTAATTGGGCAGTACGGGACATCTAATACTGCGCCACCGACATACTATTTGCGCCGTCGCTAATTGAGGAAGTGGCTGCACTGGATAATCTATATTTAGCTTTAATTACACCTATTGGTAACAGGCAAGTAGTCTACTGGTTAAAGTCTGTGCTGTTGCAATGATGTCATAAGGTTAGTCAATATTTTGCCGCGTCGCTGGTTCGAACCCCTGGACCTCGCCGGTTCTTGTCTCTGATGTTGTAACTGCCTGGCGCGGGATCCTGTGGGATTTGTTAGCCCAGGCGTTAGTTGACACTTGGGTTCTAACTGACACTCCTGATGCATCACAATTAAGTGCCAACTGACACCTTTCAAACAGAAATCTAGCAGTCCAGGCTGCTCAACATGAGACTCCGTGGCGGCAATCGCAGCCTCACGCTTCCTCTTCTCTCCGCGAGTACGAATAACTTGTTCCTCGACTACACCAACAGGCAAGTTGACGGACGGAGGAACAGCTAGACAGGAAGAGCATTCCCCCCGCATTTGTGCTAGTAGCCTGTATAGCTACCTAATCAATCACTGGTTTTTATTGCATATCCTCGACTGAAGTGAATTAAGTTACCAAAGTCAACCCATAAGGGCGACTACAGTAATCTAGAAGAGTTAAGTAGGAAGTAGAGCCGTCCCCACGTTTGCACCTTGCTAGTTAATTGAACTGCTCCACGGACAAAGGCCTCGTGTTCTCTCTCTCCGAGATTAGCAATCTAGCCATGCTGAGTCGACTTTAAATCAAAAGACCTCATCTAGTTGAAGTAAAATAAGCCCTAGAATGCTTTAAGTTCAAACAATCGTCGAGTTCAAGGAACTCCAGAGTCTGTGTACTCTTTGCAAGTCTTGTACTTGAAGTCAGAACCTGAGCATTCTTTGTAGAGTGATTTTGCACTCTTTGTAGACCTCGGAGTCTTTGGTTGTTTGATTATTTGAAGTGTCTGCTAGAAGTTCTTCTAGACGACGTCGAAACGAGCATAACTTGCTCGACTATACCTTACAAAACAAGTTCATAAAACCCCACTATCGCAGACTAGTGTACTTTGTGTAAAACACATCGAAAGAAGAATTGAAGTTGTTTTCAGGCAAAACCCCACTAGATTATCTAAATCTAAGTACATCGCGAGTGCTTCTATCGTACTCACCCTCGAACTTATATACATTGGTGATTGTGTGTGTGTGTGTGAGATTTAGTATCTAGATTGATGATCTAGACGCTTGTTTCATTTGCGCGCTGCCCGTTACCGAGCACATCATCTGGAGCCCACCACGAGGGGGATAAATCTAGATTTGATAATCTTGTTTGAATCAATTTCTATTCAACGCTACTTGTGTTGAATCAAGGGACTAAAATGAGATAGTAGCCCGTATACAATCTGTTTGCCCCTCCCGCCTCTGCGAAAGCAAAAGGCAAGAGTAAAGCCACAGAGCCGGTACAAGCACCGACTTCCTTATGTTCTCCACCAGGAACTGTACCGAAGCCTTCGGGAAGAAAAACTGCGAACTCAAGAGCAGCAGGAGTTGGAACTCCTTCTAACTACGACAACTTAGTTACCAAGCAAAAATGCAGTGTACCCGTGCCAAATAGCCCAGCTACAACCATACGGAGACCGCCAGTTCCCAATAGCCCACAAGCTAGAGCTGAACAGCGCGTTTGTGCAAATAAAGTTGCTTGTCTTACCAGGACTCAGACCCCTACGCTCTCTCCGAGATCGCAACCATCACCGTCTGTTGGAAATAATAGTCCAATAGCAAACCTGTTTGGGACTGATAACACGAACTCACAGCCCATTCAAACTGCTAGTAGTATGAACATGTCTACTAGTAACCAAAAGATGCCTAGACCTACGGCTAGGGACGCTCCTAGATTCGATGGCGATAAGTCAGAGAATATAAGGCATTTCTTGTCGCAGATGGAGGACTTATTCTCCGACTGTAGCATCACAGATGATGCCGAGAGAAAGAAACAATTAGTCCGTTACGCTGATGCTGATACTGAAGAAGAGTGGAAGTCGTTGGACGAATACGACAATGGTACCTTTGTGAAATTTAAAGAAGCTATCGTTAAGAACTATCCAGAGGCTCAAGACTGTTAGCGACCGATTTCACAAACAAGATCAAACAACTCAGCGTGACTTGCACTTCGGTCAGGCGCTGTATGTTGTCCGCAGGTTTGCGTTAAGGGAGCTATCGCTTAGTTGAGCGAGAGTGAGTTCAGACTAAGTTATCGGGTGAATAAACTTTAGTTCGAGACTGAGGTGTAAGACCTGCAGTCGAGCTACTTAAATACAGTTTGGGTCGTGCTAAATATACTACAAGTGTCTGCAATGGTGCGTTAAACGTACTGAACCCTCATGGATGAATGCGATCAAGTCCGGAGTTTTAGCATAGCGAGATTACGAGAGAGCTGATAAGATAAGATAGAGCACGAAATCGTAATATTACCCCCCTGTTAAGGCAGTCGTCCCGACTGCAAGTGGACTTGTTTTGGGAAGATAGGCTCCTATGAGAGAAGGTGCATTTGGTTTTATCAGGTATTCTTGTATTGCCTGTACCAAGGGATGGTCGACTTCAGACTCGGTTACTGACTCATGTTCGGACCAGGAGTCTGTTTCATCTTCGTCCTCCCACCACTCCGCAGGGGGTCTTGTGATGAATGAGACTTGTTCGAAGTCTTCGATTGCATCTCTGGCATTATCCAGATCCTGCTCGTCTACCCAAGAGTTCTCCTCCCTCGGATATCCTTTCCACTTGACCAGGTATTCGATTCCTGTGCCGCGCCTTCTTCCCCTCCTTCTTGCTCTTTCCCTTTGGTCTACGATCTCTTCCACTTCATATTGTTCCTGCCCGTCTATGAGGTCTGGCGGTGGAGGTGTGGGCTGTTCTTGGATCGGGAACTCTGGTGGATGATACGGGGTGAGTAGTGTTTCGTTGAAGCGATCGTGGATCTTCCAGGATATGGGAAGGCGTAATTTGTATGTGGAAGCGCCGTGTTTGGATAATACCTCAAATGGTCCAACTCGTTTGTCTCCCAGCTTCTTCATTGGTTGGGGAAGATGCAGGTTTGTGGAGTCCAACCAGACCTTGTCTCCTGGTTGGTACTCTATCGCCATTTGTCGGTGCTTGTCGTACTGTCGCTTCATGGCTTCTGCTGCCCTTTCCAATGCTTTTGCTGTTTGCTCATGCACCTTTTGTATGTCTGCCACAAATTCTCTGGCAGCCGGGTTGGTCCCCTCCTTGATCGTGAGCGGAGCGAGGTGGGGCCTCTGCCCGTGATTGACTTCAAAGGGAGAATACCCGGTGGCGGAGTGTTTCCGGTTGTTGTGTTGGAAGGCTGCGAGTGGTAGCCATTCGCTCCAGTCATTTTGTCGGTGATTGATAAAGATGCGCAAGTACTTTTCAATCTCCTGGTTCGCCCTCTCGGTTTGTCCGTCGGTCTGCAGATGATACGCCGTGGATGGATTTCCTTGTATGTGTAACATTTCGTATAACTCCTTCATGAACTTGGACACAAATTGGGGGTCCCCGGTCGGATATCACCTTTTGCGGCATGCCATGTTTTGCCCATACGTGGTCTCTGAGAATCTTTGCCCACCCGGCTGAAGTCAATTCTGTAGAGCATGGCACGGGAATGACTTCTTTGGAGAATCGGTCCACAATCATGAGGATTGCATTATATCCATTGGAATCTGGTAGTTCTCCTATCATGTCGACCGTGATATGCTCCCATGGTCGGGAAGGTACGGCATGAGGATGTAGTGGTGCTCGTCGACATTGAGTGTTGGTCTTGGTGCGTTGGCAGGCTTCGCAGCCTTTTACGTATCGTTCTACGTCGCTTTTGAGTTTTGGCCACCAATATTCTCGTTGTACGAGCTCCTTGGTTTTCTCGATCCCGGGGTGCCCGGCTGTGATGTGGTCGTGATGGATGGCGATCAATTCTCCTCGTAATTTGGCATCTCGGGGCACATATAACCGTCCGTCATAATGCATTAATCCGTCTTCTTGAGTTACCCCTCTAGGGTGGTGAAGGGATGCTTCGATCCCTTTGTCCCACTTGGTAATATCCCTCAAGGCTGTTCGAATGCATTTGTGGACTTCCTCCTCTCCTGGCATGATTAGTGCTCGGAACATTTCCGGTTTCAGCATTACTACCTCTCGATTATCTTCTCCCTCCTGGTCGTGATCCGCCCTTCTAGATAGTAGATCCGCCTTTTTATTGGCCGTGCCGGGTTTGTGGTGTAGAGTGAACTGGTACTCTGCAAGTTCAGTCACCCACCGGGCTTGTCGGCGATTGAGTTTTTGCAGTTTCCGGAAGTATTGAAGATTTTGGTGGTCCGTCCAGACCTCAAAATCTTGGTGGGCTCCCATGAGGTAGTGCCTCCAATCTTCTAGGGCCAGCATGATGGCCAAAAGCTCCTTGTCGTAAATTTCATAGTTCCTTTCCGTCACGGTTAATGCCTTTGACAGGAACGCCACTGGTCTCCACTTTCCTTCTTGTTCCTGTGATAGTACTGCCCCTATAGCTCCCTCGCTTGCGTCTGCTTCTACATGGTATTTTCCTGTTCGTGTGGGTATGGCCAGCACTACTTCTTCTGCTAGCTTCCTCTTGATTTCCCGAAATGCGTTCTCTTGCGCGGTTCCCCATGCCCAATCTGTCTTTCCGGTAAGTTGGGTTAGGGGTCGCACATGCTTGCTGTAATCTTGAATGAACCTTCGGTAAAAGTTGGTGAACCCCAGAAACGATTGTAGTTCTCGTTTCTTCATTGGTCGGGGCCATTCCGTGATTCCTTTTACTTTTACGGGGTCCATGCGGATTGATCCTTGGCTGATGATCACTCCGAGGTACTTGGTTTCCAATACC